ATTTAACCTACTTGATTGATTTTATATAAAATATATAAAATAGCTGATTTTGGTTTGGCAGATAACCTAATAAATAAATCTGGCTATGCTATGAATCAATATGTATGCACTCATATTTTTATCATATTAAAGAAGTATTCAAATAATTCAATTCAAAAAATTAAAGATGGGAAACTTCTTGTATCAAGCACCAGAGTGTTTTGACCCAGCTGATCCATTCATAGGTAAGGTTTATCATGATGAATATTTAAAATTAGGAGTCAGTGTGAGACAATAGCCAAGTAACAGAGTAAATATTTTATTTAAATTATTTGTCTAAAAGCTAATTAATATTATTCTTATTTATTAATTTAAACAGAGTGAAGCATGCTCTTTAGGTATTATATGAAATAAAAAATATATTATTTGTTTTTATTTAAAAAAATAAATTATTAAAAAGGGTATCTTATATATACACTTGTCTAGGGAATAGATTTCAGTTTAGCATAAAATAAGCACAAACCATTAAAATATGATGGTGAATTTTAAAATTTTGTTTATCACAAATAGCTTAAATATATTATTGATGGATTAACTAATTTTGTTCCAAAGGATAGAATGCCTATTAAGGAGGCTTTAATTATTTTAAAGGGAATTATTTCTTTTGAATTTTAGTTAGATGAAATGCTTATTGAGACGATAGATGGAAACATTCAACAGTTCACAAGATCACTCAAAAATGAAATCGAGTTTGTTAAAGATTTGTCAAATAAGTTTTACCCAATCATGTATTTTTATTTATTTGTTTGTTTATTTTACTCTATTTTTTGTTATATTTTTTAAAGTAAAAACGAACAGACCTTAAACTAAGAGTTAAAAGAAGACCGTGAAAAAAGATAATATGTTAATTAAGCTATTTTATTCAAAATATCATCAATATTTTCAAAATAATACTTAAAAAGGAGGCAAAAATAGAAGAATTATAGAAAACAAATCTCTAACAATAATAAAGAATTAATGAATAAGAAAAAACCATTAAAGATTTATTAACCAAATTATAATAATATTAGAATTAGTTAATGAACCGACCTTAGATTATGACGA